ATTGAAGAATTTCGGAGATAAAAACTGTTTGTCTTCGAGTTTCACCTATTCACCCCCCGGTTGAGAAAAGTAACAATTACGTAATGTTGGAGTCACGTGACCAGCGTTTACCAGGGCTACGTCGCCGCCTTCAATTCGCGACTAGTCCTGGGTACGAGGTTGACAATTTGATACTTATCTCGGCAGTTATGACCCGATTTTTCTTTGCAATGTCTAGTCGATCGAGATACGAGCGGACTAAAGTCAAATCTACGAAATATATAAATATTTTTAAAACCGTCCGGCTTCGAAATAGACAGAGCTGAAACTTGTATAAATTATATAAAAGAAGGTTATTGTTGACACCATTAATGCAATTACTGTAAATCATGAATCTAACTATTCCTAAAGCTGTAAATTTATTCTGGCCTAGATATGCCCATTAACGCACCTCAAAGATATGATTATACCGTCGTGCCGTGATAATTAATCCAATACAAATGTCCAAATTAGATATATATATATCTCCTTGTCGACAAGTAGTTTCGCATTACATTACAATTCAATTTTTCAAATGTAAATATCGCGGCGAGTATTTACCCCCCTTTAAAACAAAACCCACCATTGTAATCTTCACAAAATAACCTTTCGAACGGGGGGTCAAGTGTTGTCGAACATTATACAAACCAACCGAAACAATCATATAGTTATACTCACCGCTTCGCCAAACATTCAAACGATAAAAAGAGAAAAAGTTGAATATCTTCTAAACTTTTCGTCATTTTCGGAAAGGCTATATGTGCAAAATACTCTTTGTATTCAAGCGCTTTAGTGTAGAAAGTTTCGTATGAATACGACGAGTAGAAATATTTATTTTGAATTTTTAAAGTATCGGGTTTTACTCGCATGCGCTTGTATTACGTAATACTTGCCCAATAAGGAGTTCCCTTTAGCCGGGGTGACGTCAAACTCACGCGTATGGGTGCACTTTGACCTGTAGAATCAATTTCTGGCATTTCCAGAGTCACGCGATACAAGCGTGGCATTGTTTTGACGAGTTTTCGTCGTATTTCCGGTTGGGATTATCGCAAATTCGGAGCAAAAATGTAAAATTCGGCACTAAAAGTCACCCTTTAAGGATAGAAGCTTGGAAATAACGTTATACATGGCATTTTAAATGATTAATTCATCAAGAATATCGCAATGAGCATACGTTTCAAGGGGCCGAAGTTATATTCGGCGTAAGGTATGTTTATGTTTCTATAATTTGTTGGTAAAATGCGTAATTTGATCGTATTCGATCTCGCTTTACTTTTAAAGCTCATAAATCGCTATGATGTTGCCAATGACTAAAACTATTGCTACGAGTGAGGAGATCCAGTCACACTGAATCGAATGGTGGTATTTTTGTCCTCATAGCATTCAATGAACCGAAGATATTAAATCGGCAAAGCGTATTGCTTACAAGCATTGCGGTAATAGGGTCGTGTCGTTAAAGAGATTTATTAACAAAATTATTAAATTCATCTAATCTAGTAAAACCATGAATTTTCGAACTATCCTATTCTCGCAATAATATCTTTCCATTTACTGCCATAAGTATTTATAGTGATGTTCTTTCTTGAAAGCATTCATAATACCAAACAATTTCTTACGATTAGCTGTAAGCGACTCGTTAATATGAATCTTCTGATTAATAGAGCCATTAATTCCGAGCAGCAGACGGCAAGTCCTTCGTCGTTTTGGCCGCTATCATTTTCCTCTTCTTATAGAATTCATCTTTTACATCTCTATGAACAAACTTAGCTATCAGTCTGTTTTTTTATATTCTTTGTTGCTGGCAGTGGATGTGCAGTAGATACACGATGCTCGGTTAACTCCATCCCCATCAGCTGTCCAATTTCAACAATTATTTGTTTTGCATTCACATCGGGTGTTAATGGTACCCCTGTTACTTCGATGCAATCCCGTCGAATGTATTGCTGTAAGTCATCTATAATAGCATTTTGATCGTTCGATAACTTCTCCAGCTGATCGATCTTCGCTTTATTTTGGTTGGTGCTTTGTTCAAGACCAGAGATTTGTTTCTTGGTCGTTTGAAGTAACGTCATAATACTATCATACTGATCTGCCAAGAATTTTTGAGACTTTTCAATTTCGTCGCATTTACCTTTAACGTCGTTAATGTCTTTTAAGATCTGTTTTAACTCTTCTTGAATCTTCTTGTGAATACTAGGAAGTAATTCGTCCTTCCATGATTGTAGAAAGCTCTCCTTTGTAAACTTTGTGGCCATTATTAACTTAATTTTTACTCAACCATCGAACATGACCTGACCACTGCCATGTTGACTCATCACGCACAGACGCGCAATTATTCAAACGCTAAATACTATATTCAGAAATATACTATGAACTGTAGAGAAAAGAATAAACCCATCCTGACTCTCTATCAAAGGTCGCTACTTGGTATTCGAGAATTCGAGTGTTGAATATCGAAAGATCTTAGAAGTGATGTGGATGCATAAGGTGAATGCTTGCATAGTTATGTTGTATTGGTTGATGAATGAAAGCGGAAAGGTAATTCAAAATAACATATTCGACATCTTGTCATATTGCCTATCTTTATCGTTTTATTAAATATCCATTTGCCATATCAGGTAAACTTAACTAGCTTTCGCTTACGAAGTTATGAACTGATTTCACAAAGTCGGGTCTTACGCTACTACGAAAACCAGGCCCATATATTTTTGGCCACCACGGTTTATTATGCAGTGGTTTATTATTAATATTAATCTTTTTCTATAGCGAACATGTTTACCCCAAACAAACCAAACGGCGTTGCTACTGGACTGTTTGTTGCAACATTTTTGAACTGGCTTAAATTAAGCTTTGAAGAAACGATGGGCATGAAATAGAATCTAAGTAATTAATATTTTGTTGACATTGTAAATACAACTACGCAAGCAGCACTGGCGTTTGAATATTGTTTAATTTTATATAGACAGTGCAGTTCTCTGTGATATACTATATAGGTTAAAAAACACTTCCCAAAAGACCATCGCCTACACAAATTTTTTAATAAAAACACTATAAAAGTGAGCTATTCCTGCACCCAGAACATGGCTAACATAATTAAATCCCACAACAATAGGATACTTAACCCGCGAAACAAGAACACGCACGAGAACTGCAATTGCAATACAAAAGAACAATGTCCACTTCAAAACAAATGTCTCGTCACAAACATCGTGTATAAAGCCCATATAACCACGAATGACAACCCTCAAGGGAGAGATTACATCGGTCTAACTGAGGGAACATTCAAAAAACGCTTTACTCAACACAAGAGCTCTTTCAATAACATCGATTACAGCAACGAAACATCACTGTTAAAGTATGTGTGGAGTCTAAAGAACGAAGGAAAAGAACACAAAATCTGTTGGTCAAGCATTGACACAGCAAAGGCTTACAACAACGGATCCAACAAATGCGGATTATGCCTCTGTGAAAAGCTAGCCATCTTGAAAGGACGAAACGCACGCCTCTTGAACATACGAGACGAAATTATCTCCAAGTGTAGACATGAAAACAAATTTTACATACAAAATTATAAGAACGAGATAACATAAATTATTTGCTCGAGAGGTTTTAACAACTACGTATAGACTTTAAGTAGGTTTTGAATTAATTTACTAAGTTTTAAATTTTAAATCAGTTTAGTTGAACACTCGCATAGGTCCCAATAGGTTTTATTTAGACTGAACTTATGTAATTAGCACGGTAGCTTAGTATATAAAGCTCGTGTGCACCATAATCTATTGCTGTCTGACGATCGGTAATACGTGAAACTTAAGTAGCAGCACATTAAATTTTTTTAAATTTTTTATTTTTTTCATTTTGAACAACATATTAAGCGTTTTGGCTTCAAGCGTTTTGGCTATATATATATACAGGGTGTATCAAAAAAAGCGCAATCCTCGACTGAAATGTAAATTGCTAAACAAATAATAGACGAAAACGTTAAAGTTTACATTCATTTTAAAGCGTAGCCATTCAGCTTTCTAACAGTGGGTTGTTTCTTAAATTTGACTCATTGGTTCGCGGGTAATAATACTTTACGTTATTGCGATTGGAGATTAAAAAATTGAGATGGAATAACAAATCGTTCTCATGAAAATAACTGATTTTTTCATTAAAACAAAAAAATATTGCATTTTATTAAATGGATTGTAACAATAAGTATAATTACGGCTTTTCTTCCACTATTTTTAACTCAGTTTGAAACTTCAAATGCGATATAATTTTGGCTTGGGCCATCTAAGCTGACTGACATCAACTTGCTATAATTTCTGTTTACATTACATCGCAATACGATGACACTCTGGATCAGACAACAGAATGTTTTGACGATTTTTAGCATTCGTTTAAGGATATTATTATAATAATAATATTTATAATAATTATAAGTATTATTATTATTATTATTATTACTATTATTAAAATTGAATAAAGTCTTCGTTATGATAATTATTATTATTATTAATCCAACATCCTGTGGGCCGCCAAGAATCCTGACTATCCCGCGTGCAATTACACAGTACAGACCGGCCTTCATCACGAGCTTAAAACTGTAAGGAGCCTCTTTAAGAATGCGTTTTTGACTCGTGTTCACTCGTGTTCGTCAGTTTTTGACTCGTGTTCGTCATTTTTGACTCGTGTTCACTCGTGTTCGTCAGTTTTTGACTGGTGTTCACTCGTGTTCGTCATTTTGACTCGTGTTCACTCGTGTTCGTCAGTTTTTGACTCGTGTTCACTCGTGTTCACAAATTTTTGACTCGTGTTCACTCGTGTTGTCTCGTGTTCACTCGTGTTCTGACTCGTGTTCACTCGTGTTGTCTTGTGTTCACTCGTGTTCTGACTCGTGTGGTCTTTGATCTGTAAATCTTTGAAAGTATATATTGTGTAAAAAATTTGACAATTAATTATAATATAGTTTCACTAGCAGTTAAAAATTCTAATGTTTCTGCTCAAATAAATTTAGCCAAACCCATCATCTAATAATTAAATGTTCTTATCAAAGTGCATCATAAAATTAGACAAAATAATATTAATAGCATTTTACAATTTGTAGATACATTAACCATCTATGCAAAGAGAAGAACATTGAGAACAAGTATACCAATTTGAAAAGTGTAGCACTAAAGTAATTATAAATTTAACTCATGATCAATCACACTGCTTTTGAATATACTAGCTTTAAAGCCACAGTATGTATGGCCAGCGTGGCCGGCTCTTTTATAAGTAGAGCCTGCCCGAAAGCCCTAGTCAAATTGATGCCGCGCACTTAGTTAATATTCCATATTATCACCGCACACTCGAAATAGTTTTGTATAAATTGATGACTTAAAATTTTAATTGTTGCATGTTTACTATAGCCTGCGCTACATGCTTTCAATAAACTTTTTACAATAGATGCAATAGTGGAAAGTTCGTCACTTTAGCCGGAGATCTTTCGCGACAGGTCAATTTGAAAACGTGCTACTGCGGTATAGTTTATTGCGGCAGGCCAACTTTGAAAATTCCGCATGCGGTAGAGTTTTGCGGTATTTTACCAAGGAAATTCCTATTGCGGAAGAATATTGCGGAATATATAAAAAACATTGACTTATTTGTTACGGGAATTTGGGGAATAGGGAATGTTTTTATGAGCAACTGTTCATCGTTGGCTGAAACTGCCTGATTTCCAAATTCTCCCAAAGCGGGAAAACAGCCAAACACGTGACATTGAAACACTGGCACACTACATTGAATTTAGAAGTGGCTTCACGTAGAGTTGAGAAAATACCTGAGGAAAAGCAAAGTGATTCAAGTAAGTAACGACTATTAACGATTATTGAAAGTGTTGAATATTTATAATTGTGTTATTAATTCAGAATGCATGGTTTTAAAATTAATGGTTTTATATGCTCCTGTATATTATTTAAATAAAAGAATAGACGAATAGTTCCACGATTTACGTATATTTATTATATAATGAATATTGAATAGTGCACAATTTATGATCATGCTTATCAATATTATATAATGAATGAATATTTAATAATTCATTAATTCGGGATCCAATGCACCGTACCGCTCCTTGGGTAAACTTAATTTCATTTTGCATTGTCCATGCTTTATGGAGTATTGATTGACTGATAATAGCTCTGCAAATGTACTTTATAAAGGTAATAATAATATAATCTTTGGTTAATCTAATCTTGTATAGCTCTGGTACCAATGACCTAATTTGACCATACATATCCAATATTACGATACGCAACGAATGGTAAAAATGTTTTAACCACCGGTAAATACGAATACCGATTCGTCACCTGCAGTGCCAAAAGAAACATAATCTCATTATTAGGATATTCACCGACGGTATATGCCGCGGTGATAGGATTCACAATCTGTCATCTGCAGTGTCAAAAGAATGATGAAGAGATGAAACTTAATCTTATTTTAATTCACGAGTACAGGCTTACTATAACGCCTGGATATGACTTCATGAGTTTGCTTCGTTTTTAAGAAACGCGCTTTTGACTCTTTATATAAACGCACTGACATTTAAAACACCAGACCGTGCATTTAAATATTATATGTCTACATGAGTTTGCTTCGTTTTTAAGAAACATGGTTTATATATACGCATTGATATTTAAAACACCGCAGTCCATGCATTTAAATATGATATGTCTTCATGAGTTTGCTTCGTTTTTAAGAAACGCGGTTTATATAAACGCATTGATATTTTAAACGCCAGTCCGTGCATTTAAATATGATATGTCTTCATGAGTTTGCTTCGTTTTTAAGAAACACGCTTAGTTTGCTTTATATAAACGCGCACTGACATTTAAAACACCAGACTGTGCATTTAAATATTATCATGTCTACATGAGTTTGCTTCGTTTTTAAGAAACATGGTTTGTATATACGCATTGATATTTAAAACACCGCAGTCCATGCATTTAAATACCAGTCCGTGCATTTAAATATGATATGTCTTCATGAGTTTGCTTCATTTTTAAGAAAGACGGTTTATATATACGCATTGATACTTAAAACACCATGAGTCCGTGCATTTAATAAATAGCCTATGATATGTTTTTATGAGTTTGTTTCGTTTTTCAGAAACACGCTTAGTTATATATAAACGCATTGATATTTAAAACACTAGTCCGTGCATTTAACAACATGTAGTATTTTTAAGCTATACTGCAGTATTTTTAAGGAACAAAAATTCTGTTTATATTTACACATGCGTTTTTTTGCATACTTTGCAAACTGCAGGCGACATAACACATCTTATTATACATCACAAACTCTTTCATGCGTCTTGTTTGTATTACGTCAGTTGTATTGGCTATGCGCTACTGACGTCATTCACTTCCTATCTAACATACTGTGACCATCAACTGACAGCAAATTGCTTAACTATCATATATCAGTCATTGCTTTTCACTGCGAAACGTTCTCCTGCAGTCATAAGCCGTGAGCTAGTGCCCTCAAACGTTTAGTTTCACTGTATACCTCGCTAAGCTAAAAATACTTATATATTTTTAAGATTTAAATCTTAAAATCGAATCCAATTCTAAAAGGTTCTTGTCGATAAACCCTGCAGTTTTTTTTGTAAATTGCGATAATGTTAAAATTTACGAGTTTCGCAATAACATTTTTACTATATGCCACACCTTAAAATGCGTACTTTCGGAAGCATTCACTCGCGCGCCATAGTGAAAATTATACAGGATAGGTCACTTCCGCCTAATCTTGAGATATGTGCATTCTTTCAAGATTATGAACTTTTAAAGTGTAGACAATTTCATCTTTTAATATGGCGTGTAATGAAGAACAAATTAAAGAAACTTCAAGTTTATAGTATCAAAAATATTTTTAGAT